GCCCCAAGGATGGATCCACTCTAGGCTTCCTTTCCTAGAGATTCTCTCTGGAAAAGCCAGACCGATTATCCTAACAAACCATTTTCTATGCCCATAGAAATTTCTGGGTTGGGGACAACAGAAAGTAAGAACGTCAGGGTCTTCTCTTTAGGACCATTCCTTCTTAGTATGCCTGGGTTTTCAATACAGAATAGAGGAAGTCTTTGAACGGTCCAGCAGGGGGACTCCTGATCTTGTTTATAAATTCATAGTTAAGGTGTTAGCACATTTCTGACAGCTTCCCCTTGACTCTCAAGTAAGGAAAGTGGGCTGGGGAGGGTTACAACTTACGCGGAAAGTTGGGAACCATCAAACGATGTAAAAAGGGTGAGACATGATGAGGTTTGCACCTCTGTGTAACCATGGTGCAGACCACTGTGGCAGCCAGTGTAGAGGTCTGATTAAGAAGGTAGAGACCACTGAAAAGGCATCTGCCAAGTACAGGCAGGAAGCACTTGCAGCAGGGATGGAGAAAAGGGAGTACACTGACTATTGGAGGTGGTGGAACTGGCGTGACAGGATAACTGATCACATGAGGGAAATGATCCTTAGATTTTCATCTTGAGTTAATAGAGGACTGTATGAAATGGCTCTGCATCCTTTCAAGTACTGTGGTAGTAGATAAGAAAGTTCTAAAAGTTGTGATGTGCCTGTGACACTGATGATAAATTAATCACATGTGGGCTAGATGACTAGTGAAATGGGTGTTACTGAGGCTACAGAGACCCAGCACCTGGTACCTAGAAGGTTCTCAGTCAGTCACAGCTTTAATAATTCATCATTGTTTGCCAACAACGTCACATTGCATGACTTTGACAAGTAATTTGGCCTTTTCTCTGTTGCTCTCAGGAGGAATGGCTTAGAATAAAACTATGTGAAAATTCAGATCATCTTTTTTTTAGGTAGATATCCTAAAATGTTACCTTGTTTATAACTTAGCACACTACACAGCAATACACTGGATTCAGTCACTTAGACAAATATTTTGCAATTTCTCTTCATTCGCAAATCGTACAGCTTCACATGATATGGCATTTATTGAGATAGTTTTATGGCCTTGGTGGGAGTTTGATAGCATCGCTTAAAAATTTCAGGCAAAGATTGTCATGACTGTTCTACAGCATATTTCTGTATGCTCAGTATCCCATTTTCTGTGTGTTGGAGCAAACTGTGGATCATTTTCTAAGGAAACCTTTGGTCTTGTCAGCAGAAACTCCCTGACCACCCTGACACTAGTAGGGTTAGATGGGGAGGGTGGGTGCACGCATACTAATCCATCTGTCTTTTCCACTTCTCATAAGTATTGCTCTTTGTGAAGAAATCTTTGCCTGCACTGCAAGTTATTTTCATTCACTATATTCCCATATATGCAATTTCTGTGTGAAATAGTATTAATATTTTTAAACCTCTTGAAGATGAAGTTGGCTGAATTGATTTCGGGGAGTTGTAGTAATTTATACTTCTATCAGCAGTGTATAAGAGTGCAATTTTCTTAACAATTGTATATAGTTTGGATGTTCCATGAAGTTTTATCCTTTGCCGATTTAACCACAGGAATACTGGCCTAATATTTCTGTCATTAATTATTAATAGGTAGAATAGTTTTCAATGATTATTTGCCATTTGTATTTCTTCTTTCATTTTTATCAGTTGATACTTTTTGCCCATTTATTTACAGAACTTTTGTTATTCTCTACTTTACATTAAAAAGTTTTGTATGACATTTATCAGCATTTTAATTATTTCAGTTAAATGGTTTTTGAATTTGTTTCCACTGCTTTTTACCATGTATTTTCATATATCCCTAGTTTTTGTTTTCTGCCCTCTGCTTTCATGTTAGCTGTTGTTTCTTAACATTGAATATTTGGCTAATTGAGTTTTTTTAACACCTTAACATGAAGAAAACAAAAATCTTCACAACTGGACCAGTAAGCAATGTCATGATAAACAGAAAATATAGAAGCTTTCAAGGATTTCATTTTACTTGGATCTACAGTCAACATCTATGGAAGCAGCAGTCAAGAAATCAAATGACGTATTTCATTGGGAAAATTTGCTGCAAAAGATCTCTTTGAAGTTTTGGAAAGCAAACATATCACCTTGAGGACTAAGGTATGCCAGACCCAAGTCATGGTTATTTTCATTTGCTTTATATGCATGTGAAAGCTGGACAGTGAATAAGGAAGAATTGATGTATTAGAATTATGGTATTGGCAAAGAATATTGAATATACCATGGAATGCCAGAAGAACGAACAAATCTGTCCTGGAGAAGTACAGCCAGAATGCTCCTTAGAAGAGAGGATGGCAAGACTTCATCTCACATACTTTGGACATGTTATCAGGAAGGACCAGTCCCTGGAAAAGGGCATCATGCTTGGTAAGGTAGATGTCTAAAAGGAGGAAGACCCTCAACGAGATAGATTAACACAGTGGCTGCCAACAATGAGCTCAAACATAGCAACAATTGTGAAGATGGTGCGGGATCAGGCAGTATTTAATTATGTTGTACACAGGGTCACTATGAGTGGGAATGGACTCAATGGCACCTAATAACAACATTGGTAATAAAAAAATTTAAATTTTTCTTATTATCTTTCATTACAATTTGATCAAATTCAAACTTAAGGCCTTGGCATTACTTAAAGAAGGTTATTAGATTTATATATGTGAATGAGATATGTGCTGTGGAGAATTAAGAATGAAAAATAGTCCTTTCTACCTTGGGAATAGAGCCACACCTTAAGTGTGGCACTAAAGTCATATGATGCTATTTTCCATATTTTGCTACACAAAGAACAGGAGTTGGAAGAAACTCTAGAAAATAGTAAATAAACAAACAATAAGAAATATTAGATCCATATGCCTAGCTAAGCCTCTTTGGAAGTAGATCTCAGTTGGGGCAAGGCTGTTCCCTTAAATGGGTATTTGGAACTATGGGAGACATTTTTGTTGTTGCCTTCAAAATAATTATCAGTTGATTGTGGGAAGATGCAAAGGATTCTTGAATCCAAGGAGTTCAGAAGAACTCTTCCATGTTTCTGGAGTACCTGTCTACTTGGACAGCTGGATGAAGATATCCTGCAACAAGGCAGGTCGTGGGAATCGGGAGCTGAGGGGAGTGTTGGGCAAATCTTAGAGCTCAGCTGCTTCTGTGCCCAGGGTGGACTCGGTCCTGTGAGTACCAGTCCTACTCAAGCTCAGCTTACTAGGAGGCAGTGGCTACAGGACCAAGGACAGAAATCATTCATGCTTGGGTAGGACTTGGAGAAGATGGTCACTTTTGTCTATGATATAAAAGAAAAGAAGGAACTTTTGGGCACAGATATAGGTAAAATTATAGGCAAAGGTTATGAAGCAAACAGGCTAATTAGTATTTGGTGTGTGAAGTCAAGCCCTGCAGCACCATTGGCAGCAGCTGGCTGGAGCCAACCATCATCAGGAGGGATCGAAAGGACACAGTGCCACTAGGGGGCGGAAGAATTCCACCATCGCCCTTTCCCACCTCTGGGACTTTAGAAAGCAGCAAGATTTTGGTCAGGTTCCCTGATTCTATTAGGATGGCAGAAGTGGCTAGTGGAGCAGATGCTCAATGTTCACATGAGGAGAGTAGTAACTTCAGAACAGTCCTTTTCTATACATCAGCCTGATGTGTGCAGGGATTTCTTTCCAGAAAGCAGTCTGACCCGTGCCTTCTCACCACCCACACCAGGCCTTACACCATGGCCGTCTGTGGTTACTTAACAACTTCAGCCATTGCCACCTGACTGCCCTGGTATTTTAGGATTGACCCCCCAGGGACTTCCCCTAACAAAAAGACTTCCATGTAGCTAGAAATTCTACCAGCTGCAATCTGCAGGTTCACTGAAGCCTGATTTTTCCTCTCTCTGTTTAAGGCTGAGCATTTTGCAAGGAGCATGTTTCTACCCCAGAATCAGTATGTTGATAAAAACTTTAACTCCAAAACCCATTTCCCTGGTCTCCTTTGAAACCCCAAATTCCCTGGGCATACCAGTGTCCCCTCAGGCCATTTCTTCATAAGAGTAACAAACCTGTGATACTGCAGGCAGATGGTCCTGCTTTTCCACATAACCTCAAAGAAATGTTCTGCTTTATTTTAAAGCTTTACTGATTAAGCATTGACACATGCAGTAAAATTCATATTATTGAGCCGTAGACCTTCACCTGTAAAATGGGGATATTAATGCTTATTTTGAAGAATTATTGTGAGAATTTAATTGGATGAGATATTTAACCCCTTTTTGATCCAGTCTCACCAACTTAGGAAATTTTGCCTGAAGTATATAACCCAACTTAACCGTTGGTTTAATGGGAACCTTATGTTTTATCACCCATTATTATAAGGATGCATGTAGCCCTCTCTTTGGAAAAGAGCTTCATCCCTGTGATTTTTACTATCACTTATAGTAGTGTTGGTATTCATGTCTATTCAGAGTGTATAGCCAAATGCGGCTCCCATCATCTGGAATACAAATTAGAAAAAAGACAAGGAATTCCAATGTTATGCTGAAAGTATATATATATATATATATATAGATATTTATTTTCTGCAGACAAATTTTACTGGTGAGTCATTTTAACTTTCAAAGAACAGCCTAATTCAATACTACATAGTCTGTACCAGCATGAGATGGATAGCTTCTCAGTTCGTTTCACAAAGCCAGCACAACTCTGATACAAAAACATAACAATTATAACACAAAACAGGAAATCACAGATCTCACTTAAAAATATAGATGCAAAAATGCCAAATAGAACAGTAGCCAATTGAAACCAACACCACATTAAAGTATACAAAGCTTTGGCAGTTAGAAAACCAAATTGATAATCCAAATTTACACACATAGAACTGGAACATAAACACCAGAAACAAAATGTTTCCCAACCTGTCAGTGGCTTCTGGCTGGGGACCCAAAAAAGAACAATCTCAGCTACACCTCACTAGCGGGGAGGGGAACTGCTGGTGGGGCCACCGGTGTTATCACCTGCTCCAGCCTCATCGTCTTCCAAATCTTCAGATTCACATTCTGCCAGTGCTTCCAGGTAATGGAATGGCCAACACCGTGGATCCCTCTTATGGAGCCTGGCCACAAACCTGAGGACAAGCATCTTGCTGGTTTCAAGGAATGCTCGAGGGCCCCAGAGGAACTCATATTCTGCTGGCTCAGTGTGGGGGATTCGCCTGTACTCTAAGTACCTCTGCCTGACAAACACCTCCGTGATGAGCTTGTTTGTATTTCCAAAGAGACCGTGTGTCTCCTGGGTATCCAACCCTAACTTGGACAGAAAATCAAAGATAAGATGCTCCCTGACACAATTGCCTCTCATGAAAATAAGACTCAGGACCACCATCAGGAGTCCAAGCTTGGGCGTGTCTAAATATGATGCCACTGGCTCATCTTTATGATGGCCCAACTTGTTGATGATAATATAAGAGTGGTTTTTTTGATCAATTTCCTTCAATTGATAGCCAAAAGCACACTCTAACTTATGGTTGGCTCGGCTGATGATATCCAAGCACTCATCTTTATATTCACGGATAATGACTTTCACCATCTCTGAGCGCTTGATGGGCACCTTGGCTTGGTCCTTGACCAAGAGGAACTGTACCAATGCATTTGCTCTCTCATCCAAGGGAGACAATGGCTGAGTCTCCAACTTGGGCTCATCCTGGGTGGCACCAAGTCCCTGAGAGAGACTTGGGACCTCAGAGAAGATCACTGGCTCAGGGTTCCCTGAGCTTTCCCACAGGTTCAGAACATTTGAGGTGCTTGGACACTCCCAGGCACTCAGAGCCAAGGAGGTGCTGGGTCCTTCCCAGCCACTCAGGATCCTGGAGGTACTGGGGCCCTCCCAGCCACTCAGGCCACAGGAGATGCTGGGGCCCTCCCAGTCACCCAGGACCTGGAGGGGGCTTTGGCCCTCCCAGTCACTCAAGTTCAGATTGTCCCAGGGCCTTGGGGCCTGCCAGTCATGTAGGGCCAACATGTGACCACTGCTGTCTTCTTGGGCATTCAGATGCTTCTTCTTCCGGGCAACTTTGCCTGAGCGGCGCTGCTGGGAGATCTTAGAGGCCCCGTCGTTGGTGGTTGTTGCCTGGGGGGCAGCTGCTGAGGCCATCAGGAAGCTGGATGCTGCCTTTGATGCCTTTGAGACATTGGAGTTGGGCCGAGGAACCCAGGAAACAGCAGGCAGGGCTTCTGCACAGGCAAATGGATCCTGCAGAGCAAGTGGCAGTGACTTTGGGGTCTCTGAGGTGACAGATGGACCCTTAAAGGTAACAGAAGAAGCAAAGTGGACCTGGGAGGTAGCTGGAAAGACCCTTGAGGTGGCAGTAAAGGTCTCTGCAGGTAAGTTTTTCCAGGCAGTTGGCAGGTGTGCCCTGGCAGCTGGCACTGCCCTTGGGGCACAAAAAGTGGCAGCGAAGATCATGCGGTCCTTTGAAGGAGCCCTGCGCTCCTTTGAAGAGGTCCTGCGCTCCTTGGAGGAGGCCCTTTGGTCTACCGAAGAGGCCCTGGATTCTCCGGATGGGGGAGTCATCAGTGATTTAGCCGAGCCCAGGTGAAAATTTGCTGCCTCTAAGGAGGCTGCAGGCTTGGCCTGCATGGCTCCAGGCGGGGCCTGCCAGGAGGGCTGGAGCTGCAGGGTAGGCAGCTCTGCTTGCGGGCCCGAGGACTGGGCCTGCTGGGTGGGTAGCTGGATTTGCAGGGCCTTCTGGGAGGGCGGAGCCCCCTGAAAGGGCTGCTCCAGCTGGACCAGCTGCGGACCCTGCCTCTGGGCCTCCTGGGCAGGCAGGGACTGCCAAAAGTGAGCGGGGGCCTTCGGGGCTGGCCAGGCCAGCGACTGGGCCTGCTGCACCTCCTGGAACTCCATAGACGTTGGCATCTCTTGTGGCACTGGGGCTTGGCCCTTGGGGGCCTGCCAGATGATGGGCGGGCAGTGCGCGATCTGCTGGGCTGAAGACTGGGCCTGGGGCGCCTGCACCTGCGGGACTGCCTGCACCTGCGGGGCCGCCTGCACCTGCGGGGCCGCCTGCACCTGCGGGACCGCCTGCACCTGCGGCACCGTCTGCACCTGCGGCACCGTCTGCACCTGCGGGACCGCCTGCACCTGCGGCACCGCCTGCACCTGCGGCACCGCCTGCACCTGCGGGACCGTCTGCACCTGCGGCACCGCCTGCACCTGCGGGACCGCCTGCACCTGCGGGACCGCCTGCACCTGCGGCGCCGCCTGCACCTGCGGAGCCGCCTGCACCTGCGGGGCCGTCTGCACCTGCGGGGCCGGCAGCCGGGCCTGCGGGGCCTGCCTCAGAGGTGGAGGGGGCGGAAGGGCCTGCCAGAGATGCGGCGGGGTCGCCAGGACCTGCGGCGCTGGCCGGATGGGCGGTGGAGCCTGGCGGATCAGCGGAGGGGCCTGGCGGATCTGGGGTGGGGTCCGGCGCACCGGCGGCGGGCCGGGCCGGATGGGTGGCGGGCCTGGTCGGATGGGCGGAGGGCCCTGGCGCACGGATGGAGGCGCCTGCCAAGCAATCGCTGGGGCTTGCCAGGTGACCTGCGTGGTCTGCCAGCCTAGGGGTGTGGCTTGCCAGCCTTGTGGAGGGGCTTGCCAGCCAGGCGAGGTGGCCTGCCAGCCTGGGGGCGTGGTCAGCTGCGCCTGTGTGGCCTGCGGGCCCTGGGGAACCTGCGGAGGAGCCCTTATAACCTGAGACTGGATTTGCAGGATCAGAGGCTGAGACTGTGGGGCCCAAGAAGCCAGAGGCTGTGCAGGTGGGGCCGCCGGCTGCGCCATTGGGGCCCCTGAAGCTGGAGGCTGGGTGATCGGAGCTCTGGAACCTGGAGGATGGATCATCAGAACGCCAGGACCTGGAGGCTTGGCCATCGAGACCACTGGAGGCGGAGGCTGGGTCATCAAGGCTCCTGGAGGTGGATGCTGAGCCATTGGAGTTCCCGGCGCTGGAGACTGGACCATCAGGACTCCCGGAGTCAAAGGCTGGGCCATCAGGACTCCCGGAGCTGGAGGGTGGGCCATCGGGGTCCCCGGCGGGGGAGGATGGGCCATCGGTGTCCCCGGCGGGGGAGGGTGCGCCATCGGTGTCCCCGGAGGGGGAGGATGGGCCATCGGGGTCCCCGGCGGGGGAGGATGGGCCATCGGTGTCCCCGGCGGGGGAGGGTGCGCCATCGGTGTCCCCGGAGGGGGAGGATGGGCCATCGGGGTCCCCGGCGGGGGAGGATGGGCCATCGGGGTCCCCGGAGGGGGAGGATGGGCCATCGGGGTCCCCGGAGGTGGAGGATGGGCCATCGGGGTCCCCGGAGGTGGAGGATGGACCATCGGCGTCCCCGGAGGGGGAGGGTGGGACATCGGAGTCCCGGGAGCTGAATGATGGACCATAAGAACTCCAGGAGCTGGAGGCTGGGCCATCGGAGCTCCCGGAGGGGGAGGAGGATGGACCATCAGGACTCCAGGAGTCGGAGGCTTGCCCATCGGGCCTCCCAGAGGGGGAGGCTGGACCATCTGGGCCCCTAGGGCCGGAGGTTGGGCCATCGGAGCCACTGGGGCTGGCGGCTGGCCCTGTGGGGCCTCCCAGGCAGGCTGAGGTGCCTGCCAAGCGGCCAATGAAGCCTGCAAGTCAATAGGAGGTGGATCCCAAGGGACTGGTGGGGCCCGGGAGGAGGCGGGCGGAGCCCGCATCAGAACCGTAGGGCGGCTATAGACCGGTGGCTTCGGGGCCTCAATAGGAGGACTCGAATCACCCAGATTCTTACTTAGCTGCGACATGTCCCTTTGCTCTGACAGCTGGTGGGCCTTTTCTTCGGACAGCTGCTGGGCCTTTTCCTCCAGAGAGAAGAGAATGCCTACGTGGCTGCTCAGAGGCTCCCTCCCTGCTGACTGCTGAATAGGAAGTGAGTGCTTCTCTCTCTGCAGCTTTCCGCAGTAAGGAGGAGGGGGGAAGGGGGCTCAATCCCGCCCCCTTCCCCGCCCCCGACCACCACAAGTGGATAGAGCATAGGGGCGTCTACCAGAAGTCCTGGCTGACACAAGATCCCTTCTCACTGTGTCCAGTCCCCAAATGCAGCCTGCTCAGCCTCTCCATGGATGTTTTCACAGGGGAGTGACAGGGACAGATCTATGTTTTAGAAAGATAACTGTACTGCAGTGTGTAGTGGGGACAGACCACTGGGAACATGGAAGGCATCCAAGAGGGGGGAGATGGTGTGACCAGTGCTCTGATAGGAGCTGGAGGATGTAAGAAGTACATATAGGTACAGAGATTTGGGAGGTAGAATAGGTAGCTATTATAATTTAATGTAGGAGTAAAGGAGATGCAGAAGGCATGCATGTCTCTATCCTGGGAAAGTGGGAAGTTGTTGATGCCCATTTACTCTCTTAGAGACACAGTGGGAGGCACATGGGGAGATACTTTGATGAGTATTGATTGGGACATTGGGCATTTAAATTGTTGTGGGACCTATCAGGAGAGAGGCTCTGTAGGCACACTTGTATATGGTCTGGGGCTCAGAAGATGCCTGGGCTAGGAGTCAAAGATGGTCACATCTCCTTAAAATAAAGCTGTGGGAGTGTATGTATTATAGAAGCAAAGTGTTTAGAGTGAAAAGTATAGAGGCCAAGAAACTCCTGAGAAAGGTCTTGAAGACTACAGGAAGAGAAAAGGGATCGCCAAGAGTAGAGAGAGTAAGAAAGAAATCCTAGAAATTAGTATGTGCCAGAAATTAATAGAAGACAGCATTTTTTAGTATGGGGAAAACTTCCGGAATGGCTGGAATGAGAGATGGAGTGGGTTTCTTGTTGGTGTTCACCAGTTGTGGAGCAGAAGATAAATTGTGATAATGAAAACAAACAAACAAAAATATCACTAAAAACTAATAACGAATGAATAGACCCAAAATTGATACTTAGGAAAGTAGACAAAGAGTAAAATGCAAAATTTCTGGGAAATCAACTCATGGGAAAAAAATTTAAAAAATAAAGAAAACAAACTTGTTACTATTGAATCAATTCCAACTCATAGCGACCCTATAGGACAGAGTAGAACTGTCCCATAGGATTTCCAAGGCTGTAATCTTTACAGAAGCAGACTGCCACATCTTTTTTTCTGTGGGAAAGCTGATGGGTTCGAACTGCTGACCTTTGTATTAGCAGCCAAGCACTTAACTACTGCATCACCAGGGCTCCTCTCAAGGAAAAAAAATCCACTTAAAATGGGACAGATGATGTATTAACAGATAAAGCAGAAGATATCAAAAATATTGGATAAGACTATACTACTTATACTATGAGACTATACCAGAATGTTCCTTAAAAGCAAGGATGGCAAGACTTCGTCTCACGTACTTTGAACATGTTATCAGGAGGGACCACTCCCTAGAGAAGGACATTATGCTTGGTTAAGTAGAGAGTCAGAGAAAGAGAGGAAGACCCTCAATGAGATGGATTGACACAGCGGCTACAACGATGAGCTCAAGCATAGCAATGATTGTGAAGACGGCACAGGACTGGCAGTGTTTCCTTCTGTTGTACATAGGGTTGCTATGAGTTGGGACCTACTCAACGGCACCTAACAGCAACAGTATACTTTTTGCTGAAAGGAAGTGACAGTCTATGTTTAGTTGGGCAGCTTTTAGAAAATATAAAATATCCAGTTGTTATCGAGTCGACTCTGACTCATGACAACACCACGTGTGTGAGAGTAGAACTGTGCTCCATAGGGTTTTCAATAGCTGATTTTTCAGAAGTAGATCACCAGGCCATTCTTCCAAGGTGTCACTAGGTGGATTTGAACCTCCAGCCTTTTTCTGCTAACCATTTGCACCACCCAGGGAAAATATATGAAAAGTAATATGAACATCAAGGGTGATGAGTAGAGGAATGTTCAAAGCTTAGGGTAAGAGTCCAGAGTAACAAAAAAAGTGGAAGATGTCTCAAGGGGGCAGAAGAGGATGATGAAGGGCATACCCTGATCCTGTTGAGGTACCTTCAACCAAACCCATTGCCGTCGAGTTGATTTCAACTCATAGCGCCTCTATAGGACAAAGTAGAATTGCCCCACAGGGTTTCCAAGGAGTGCCTGGTGGATTCAGACTGCTGACCTTTTGGTTAGCTGCCGAACTCTTAACCACTACATCACCCAGGGTTTCCATCTTCAACCAGTGTCCCTCAAATTTGGTAATTTGTAGTTCCCAAATGAAGGCATTATACACTCCCAAGGGAGCATATTGTCTTTAATAATGAGAGAAAAATTTAAGGGTGGTATTTTGCCTTAGTTTCCTGGTGCTACCATAACAGAAATACCACAAGTGTGTGGCTTTATAGAACTCAAATTTATTTTATCATAGTTCTGGAGGTTAAAAGCCCAAATAAGTTTTTGGCTATGTCATTCCTTCCTTGTTAGTAGCTCTGTCTGTTTCTTGGCATTCCTTGGTTTACAGATGATCTTCACAGGGCATCTGTCTTCCCACATATGTGTGTCTCTGTGTCTGTTTTGGTCTTTTTATAATTCAGAAGTGATTAGGTTTAGGATACACTCTACACTGCTATGACCTGATTAACATAACAAAAGAAAAAGCATTTTCTAAAGATTACATCCACAGGTACAAGGGCCAGGGAGGGGTTCAACAGATATTTTTTAGGGGATACAATTTGATCTATAATAAGTTTCAGTGGCTTTTCTGGCAATTGAAGGGATGGGAAGCCAGGGTTGTTATCTCCCAGGAACATCTTGCTTTTCAAATGCAAGTGGCTCATTCAGGGTACCTGAAGATATGTCACTCTTGTGTGTACCCAAGAAGGCTCTTCACTGCTTGGGCACATGATATGGCACACAGGAAGTTGCTTCTACAGAATGGGTACTGCTATGTTTTGTGTTTTCCAGGAGCCTCCTTGGTGTTAATAACCCATTTTAATATAGGACTTTGAACTTTCATAGGGGTTTAGAGACACTTCAGTGGGGACAGCTTTATACACATAGTCATGTAGTGCTGTTCTAACAGAAATACCACAAGTGGATGGCTTTAACAAAGAGAAATTTATTTTCTCACAGTCTGGTAGGTTACAAGTCCAAATTCAGGACATCAACTCCAGGGGAAGGCTTTCTCCGTTGGCTCTGGATGAAGTTCCTTGTCATCAGTCTTCCCTGGTTCTGGGAGCTTCTCTGCGCTGGAATCTCAGGTCCAAAGGACACGCTCTGCTCTTGGCACTAGTTTCTTGGTGGTCTGAGGTTCCCATGTGTCTCTGCTCACTTCTGTCTTTTATATCTCAAAAGAGATTGGCTTAAGACACTGTCTAATCTTGTAGACTTCATCAGTATAACTGCTGCTAATCCATCTTATTACATCATAGTGATAGAGTTTACAACACATAAGGAAATCACATCAGATTACAAAATGGTACACAATCATACAATTCTGGGAATCATGTCTCACCCAAGTTGACAGATAGTTTTGGGGACACAGTTCAATCCATGACACAGACTTTGCCTCATAGGAGTTTGTCATTGTGGATGACTTTGGGACAGTCAGTCTATTTACCGGTCTGTGTAATTTCTACCTTAACTAAAGCTTACTTCTTCTCTAATTCAAAGGTGTAAAGTCATCAGAAATTGAATTCTTCCATTAACTGTTTCTTTTTCATGATTATGACTGTTCTGATCCTTAGTCCCCCATTATGTGGGTCATCCCACACAATAAATGGCTACCAGTAAGACCGGATTGTTCTCACTGGTGTTGGAGTTGAATGAGTAATACGATATCAACTCCCACTAAACCCAGCCTATGAATGGAGCCCTAGTTTATACCTATAGGAAATACAGCAGCTAGAAAGAAAGTACCAAGAATGTGCAGGGAAAAAATGTGTGGATGTTATTTGAGGTGGAAGGTAATCAAGTCAACCATCATCACCTTTGCAACTCCTTGGTACATTCTTGAACTAGGGGATAAAAACTGAGACATAAGTATCCAGTTATTCTGTTGGGACCAGTAAAACCAGTTGCTGTTGAGTTCATTCCAACTCATGGTGAACCCATGTGTGTCAGAGTAGAACTGTGCTCCTTAGGGTTAAAAAGGCTAATTTTTTTGGCAGTAGATAGCCAGGCCTTTCTTTCAAGGTACCTCTGGGTGGACTCGATCCTCTAACTTTTTGATTTGCAGTTGAGCACATTAACCATTTCCACCACCCAGGGACTCCCGTTGGGGCCAGTAAAGGTAGGTATACTGAGGTTATTCTATCCATGAAAGTACATCTGCCTGTTTTAGATAATCAGTGCTCTCAGACCCAGAGCACTTGACTGTCTCAGCCTAGGTATTCAGAAATTACCTACCCCCAACATCAAATAGACCTGAGGAACCAAGAGACATATAGCCCCTTTGTGTAAAATGTCTGCCTTAATAACAGCAAGACTCAATACTGCCCTGAGTCCAGTGGGGTATTTGGACCATAGGTTTTAAATCCATCACACACCCATTGCCGCTGAATCATTCCGACTCACAGCAACCCTATTGATAAGAGTAGAACTGCTCCATAGGATTTCCAGGGAGTGGCTGGTGGATTCAAACTGCCATTCTTTTGGTTAGCAGCTGAACGCTTAACCACTGCACCACCAGGGCTCTGACAGACCTTAAATAGGTTTCCAAAAATCCTCCTTCTCCCTGTGGTGCTGTTGCCAGACCAAGTGGGTCCCTGTCCGATGCGCTGTAAAGCCAAGAGACAAGACACACCAAGTTTTGAAGAAAGAGAAAGTAGTTTATTGCAGAGCAGCAATGCAA